CAAATTTTGGAAAATCAATTTACTTAAAATAACTTGACATAAATACTGTCGTGACTTTAAGTCCGGCTAATCATCACGTAGTTTATTCGTCAATTGAAATACGATTTATTCACACTTTTACTGTGCTAAACTAATGACGTTTGTTCGGTCTGATCAGTCTAGCGTCCTATTGATCCTTCGTTCGCCTAGCCCGTCCAAACTGAATCCAGAACACCAATAACAGCCTCCACTATACGAATCATTTATTTCAAACATACTTGGCTTATATACCAGCCAAACAGATCGTATCACACGATAAAATAGGAAATAACATTTATACAAGATCAGGCCAAAAAGCGGCCGTGAACATGGGAGACAGTAATCAATAAACTGGACATAACTTAAGAACAGCAAATCATATAATAATAATCTATAGGTCAAAATAAAGCTTATAATAAAAGGAATATATATATATATATAATATTAGCCAATTACTACTTCTCAGAAGTTACTCGTAATTTAATATTTGCTAGGATATAACAAATACTTTACGTACTGTATATCATAATTTTAAATCCCTAATGAATTGTCAACCAGTTAAGAAGCTATTCGAACCAACCACTGCACTGTCAAAAGAAGCCTTCTGTATACATCTCAGAGAGACTTGGCCAAAAAAGATACTTTTGTTGTTGTGTGTGCTGCTGATGTCGACAGACATAAGTAGAATATTATCATCAGTTGAAAGTGAAATGCCTGGTGGCAGAAGATTAAGAAGATCGAGAAAAAGAGAACGAGAACAGAGAACAATTGGTGTGGAGACGAAAGAACAATAAATTACGAGATGACTGATTGACATTTTGCAAATGAAGTATTTACTGTATATGTCTCAAATGTTTCCAAGAGATTCTGTAAATTCATGTTCAAATCCACTTAGTTGTGCTTGCCTGTGTTCTTATTCACTACCATGTGAAGCGCCAAACAACCAAGTCTTCTTATATTACATTAAGAAGACCAATAGATAAGACAGAAGAGGTCCGAATTAAATGTTTTAGGTTGGATTTGAAGATCATTATCTTAATCGAAAACTAGTTATCTTTTGACATCATGGGTATTAGAGGGAGGATGTCAGGTGTTATTCTTTGTAGACGTAACGAAGAACAAAACTAAGGGGTGGGTGGAAGTTTACTTACATCAGGGTCATGGATCTTAATAGTTACGGTCCGTCTGAGCTACAGGACTTCATGTGGTACCACTTCGTCTCCAAATTCACCAAATATACAATCAAAGAAATGTACGGTTTTCCTGCAAGTGAGAACGCACAAAGGAGAGATAATCCATGTGTCATAAGACAGGAGAGGGACAAAGAGCCATGAAAACTAAATTATATAACATCGCTTGATCCATGATTCCGATAAAGTCGAGAAAACTTTCGTCCATGAGATCGTCCTTCGATACGTTTCATGACCTCAGAAACTCCTAGACCTATCAATCAACGAGTATTGGACTGTTGAAGAGACCGTTACTCACGAGGTTGTTTCAAAAAACAGCTCATAGGTTTCCGTATTATCTAGGCAAGTCAATGCCCTAGGTAAATCGAGGAATAGGATTACTGCTTCAGGGAAGGACGAGTGCCTGGAATAAATGGTGAACCTCACTAAGAGATATCGACATTAACTTGAACATTACAATAGGAAAAAGCATAATAAAGGGGTACGGAAGGGTAGGAAATATGTTCAAACAAACCTTACTGGAAATTGTAAATCGGATTAACTGCCTGTGTTAACTTATTTCACAAAAAGCACAAAAAGTTAACTTTGATCATCGCCGAACATCAAGGCTTGACGTTCATTAATTTCAAAGCCACCGAAGTCCTCAAGGACCATTTTTGTGAACACTTACGCCAGGCATTGATCAGAAAAGTTTTAACAGATGTTTTAACGGCGAAAACAGCAAGAGGTGCAACCCGGATAAATCATGGAATAGAGTTAAGAAAATTATAGAAACTGAGTCCTGGTAAGTTGCCTCGTCGCTAGAGTTTCGGCTACATTGTTGTGAGAGTGACGTTACTAGATACCAGTAACAGCTATGAGAAAAACAAAGCAAGCCTATTCCTTCTTAATATTGCGCGGGAGGCCTCTTTGACACCTTCTTGGTCAGCGTAGCTAAAGCTCTTCCAATTTATGTTTTTAAGAGGTGTCTCGATGATCACGGATGTACTGATGGTTTACAATCCTCCTTGCACATTGTCTAACTATACACACTCACAGAGTACTTATTAGCCCACTTACGCTACATTTCTCCATCTTCCCATGATTATTTCTTCTTATTATTATTCGGAAATCCCTTTACCAACTCATATAGTATTATCTCCGTTTGACTCAACTATTCTTTGTTGCTGATTTAGTCAATTAGTAAATTTAGTTACCTGTTTATTTATCTGGATTTCTATCTCTGACCTGTCAGTTTTTCCTCTCACTATACAATCTTAACTAATACAACAGTCCGTGAAGTGTGATACCTCATATTCTTAGCAACATCACTGCTCTAGAATGAACGCATTCATTTATCCTCTGTATATAGTAATCTGAAAACTATCGTATTCAATTGGCTTAGTGCAGAAAAGTAACCAGAACACCAACACTGGACCCGTACCTTAACTCCTAGGATAAAATGCAAAGAAGTCTATTCGACAACACATTAGAGATCCCACAAGATACGACTTAAGAAACTCTTCTCTTTTAGATTTAGTCTTCACACACGGTGATCACGTTGGTCAAATGGCTTTTCTCCCACCACTTGGGAGAAGTGACCATGCAGTCATCTTATTCAAATTCATGGCTGAGATTGCCTGTCAAACAGTTGCGCCGGCCCGTCCTAACATATGGAAGGCAGATATGGAGGCATCGGCTGAAAACTGGGAAATTGACTCAAAGGCATCAGTACAAGAGGCATAGACTCTATTCAGGTAGTTATACAATCGGGTAACTCAACCATACATATCCTGAACTGTCCCAAAGAAAAAAAGCACGGACATCCCTGGATAGGGCGGGATATTCGACGCTTACTAAGACAAAAGAAGAAATGCTGGGATGTTGCCATCCGCCTTGGCACAGCAGGTACGATGGAACGCTACAGATCGATAAGAAACGAGTGTATAACGAAAATTCGGGAAGCTCAAAGAAAATATGAAATGCAGTTGGCACAATCTGCACTGAAGCAGCCCAAGGGAATATTCTCGTACATAAACTACAGAACAAGGATGCATCATTGGATTTCCAACCTAATTAAAGGAGGAATGAATCTGAAATGATAGAGGAAGATTAGGAAAAAGCAGAGGCTATGGCTGAATAGTTTGGGGCAGTTTTCACTCAGGAACCTCCTCTAGATAAAGAATCCGACCAAAATAAAGAGTCAACAAACCACCCGCTGCTCACCGTGGACTTCGATCAAGACGATGTGCTTAAGGCTCTTGGCATCGTAAACATGGAAAAGTCAACAGGACCAGATGAACTACACCCAAAATCTTGAGACATATTGCGGCCCCACTGACTGTGATATTCAATATGTCACTTGACCAAGGTGTGTTACCTATGGGCTGGAAGGAAGCAATCGTAACTCCCATACATAAAACAGGTCCACGACAAGTTCCATCGAATTACAGACCCGTAAGCCTCACCAGTGTTGTAATTAAAATACTGGAAAGAATAATCAAACGGACCATAACAGCATTTATGGAAACCAATAACTTGTTGAACATGGCACAACATGGTTTTAGAAAGGGTCTATCCTGTACAACGAACCTCCTTATAGCTAGGGAGTTCTGGATTAATGCGCTAGACAAGGGAAACTCAGTGGATGTTGTCTACATAGATTTCAGTAAGGCTTTTGACAAGGTGCCAACTAATAGACTGCTACTGAAGTTGGAAAACCTTGGTATTATCGGTCCTCTTTTAAAATGGATTAAAGATTTCCTAGTAGGTCGTAGACAAAACGTAAGAATAAATTCAAAGTGCTCCATCTGGAGACCAGTAATTAGTGGAGTATCCCAATGTTCCGTCTTAGGTCCTTTACTTTTTATAATGTACGTTAATGATCTTACAAGTATAGTACAGTCTCCAATGCTATTATACGCTGACGATGTAAAAATTTGGCGAGTAGTAACTGGAGACAAAGACGCATTTACTCTTCTGGCAGACTTAAATAATATGATAAATTAGTCTAAAGAATGGTTGATGCCTATCAACTCGGAAAAGTGTGTCTACATGCACTTGGGGGATTCAAAGGATAATACGTACAACATAGGGGATGTGTCATTATCCGTAGTCCGGCCTTATAAGGATCTAGGGGTGACAGTGAGTAATGATCTTAAGACGACGGCCCGTTGCCAGGAGGTCGCAGCCAAGGGGTTTTGAACCCTCTGGGCTTTAAAAAGGACATTCACTAAGTTAGATACTACCATTTTCACCACAGTATACACATCCTTAGTGAGAACTAAGCTAGAGAACTGAGTTCAGGCTGCAAGCCCCTGCTTAAAAAGTGACTCGGACATACTAGAAAAAGTACAAAGAGCAGCTACCCGTGCAATTCCGGAACTCCGGGGTTCATCATACAAAGAGCGGCTTGAAAAACTGGACCTCTTTACTCTGTCCTATCGCAGACTAAGGGGAGATCTAATTTTGATGTACAGAATACTGAGAAATGATTTCGGACCTAAATTATTCTCTCTTTCTTCCCACTAGATCGGGACACCTCAGAGGACATAGCAGGCGAGTAGAAAAGCCAAGAACGAACAAAATACCCGTGGCATACAGGTTTTCACACCGAGTCATCAATACTTGGAACCTGCTGCCTGAAGCAGTGGTGTCCGCACCTTCAATTGACTCTTTCAAGAGAAGACTGGACACTCACAGAAGCATACTAGAAAAGGAATAACATAGGCCGTAGGCCTTCTGTCCTTACTACACAAATCTGAATCTGACTGTAGTAGTTCATATGAGTCATTGAATACCGGATATTGAAAGCGAAACTCTCCATTTTCAACTTGTAGGTCGTTTGGGTGTTCTTTCTTGTCGGTTGCCTCTTGTGATAATCGATCCTAGGGGCCGTAATATTTTATCACTCGTCCAGACAACGTTTATTCAGAACAGAAACTCGCAAAAAATCGAAGGCATCAAGAAAATGTTGACGTGAGTAGATTGTTGTGTCAATTCGATGCTAAATCGAATTTTATTTGTCTTCATTCATTCCTTAATTCACATTTATTTCAATAATGATGATTGCAAAACCTCATTTTGACAACCTTAAGTAAGGACATAGTTGTTGAAATCTGAAAATAATTCGGCACTCGATTTTTCAGTATATAGTTATAAATCGAGCCATAGAATATCCGACACAAAAGTTTTGGTAGTGAGAATAAGTGCTGGTAATATCATCGCTCTCCATTTCACTGGTCGTTTTCTTTGCACTCGATGCCATGTTTTTTTGAATTGTTTAGTAAATATTACTTTACACCTATAAAAGGAAACTTAGCCTATGCTCGTTCGATGACCGAATGGAGTGATAATAGTATCCACTAAATAGTTTTATCAGCTACTATCCACTGAGCAAGGACCTGAGAAGGAGTACCGCTTAATTAAGACACTGGCCAAGAGCATAGTTTTCTAAAATCTTTTAGTGGCAGTAAAATAAGCTTCAGAGTAAGTTTTCCTAACTTCAAATGCAAGTTATTGCTGGAGGGTTAGCTCGCCTTGGTAAGGTTAAATTATAGAGCGAGTTATTCGTCCCCATTATCTTTTCATTTGTTATGGTGTCATCTTTTGATCAGGTAGGTGATTGCAAAAATCTCGACCATATAAGTTTACTGGGCATTGGTTCCTTCTGTCTCTAGTCGCAGTTGTGAAACGCATTGTGGGAGGTTAGAAACATGGATAGGTTGCTGGGACTTGTCCTTAGATTCCCTTGTTGCGTTATTTGCTTATGGTGGAACTAATCGGTCAGTGGTGCTAAGTTTGAGCTAGGGTACTAGGTAAAGATGGTAAGTTAATTGGTGGGGCCGGAGTTTCTTCTTGAATGCGGTGGTAAGGCATATGTGATAACTTGGGCAATGCATTTTTATGTAATATCCTTAGTTTGTGCTCGACTAATTAGTAATATGTCTACCTAATCAAACTGGTGATGTAATCATCTTTTTCTGTACTTTCTTCACGTTTATACCGAAAGGTCTATTGCTAATTTTCTGTACGAACAATTGAATATCGGTAAAACCTAAGCAAATCATAAAATTTAGTGTCTACAAGTTCAAATTTTGAGCAAATTACCACTTCATTTTCGTAACATTCTGTAATTTGAGTTTCTCCTCACCACTACTTAGTTCGTAATCATTTTCAAGCGTGACTTGGTTTTGCTATAATCTGGGGGATTCTGTTTGACCATTTCAGTCAATCTGTCTAGGATAACGAGTGTTTTAAACGTAAAATTAGATTAGTATACATTACAGCACCACTAAACAATTGAGAATGTCGGTCGTAAGACAGGTAGGGTGTGGCACATACTGAAGTTGCCATAACACACCGACAATGCAAAATTTATTAAGACGAATATCAGAGTAGCAGAAATTTTAGTGGTATCAGTGATGATTAAAAGCTTGGACAGAGATAATTCTAGAAGAATAAACTTGAGAAAAATGATGTATAAAATAATTTAGAAACTAAGTCTGTGCGTAGACAAGTAGTAAATCCATCTCCTCCATTGCCTAACTTTGATCAGTTGTGTTCGCGTGCATGTTATAGACGTGGTTGCAATGTGATTCAGTGATCCGTGAAATATCAAGATATTCAGAACTTTCAACTCAGTGGCTGTAATGGAGTACTCAGAGTGCTGAGTTGCAGATCAAAATAGTAATCAAACTTTTTCTTATAGGGTCCACTTAATCAAGTGTAGTCACTCTATTATTTATTTATTTGAACACATAAACATTGGTACAAGAGGGCACCAAATATATATGCGCCACACGTGGTCACTCTAAGTGTAAACCCTTTTGAATTTAGTATTTGATGTCCATGGTACACATTAAAATTCGTTTTATCCAATAGTTCATGTGGGTTTATGTTTGTGTGTATTACTTTCCCATTTTACCTTATTCAGATCAGCTTTGGCCTGTCAGTCATTGCCACACTACTCTGATTTTGATACAACTTCAGAGAGTGGTCTTTCCGATTTATCATACGTTCTTCCTTATCGTCCGAAGAAATCTTTAACCAGGAATAAACCTGTGAAAGCTAGTCCTGGTGAAATAAGGCTTGGAGCAAGGGCGATGAGAAGATACGAAAATGGTATGAAGACATTTTTTGATCGATACGGGATTCAGTGTGTTAAATATTTACCCTATATTGGTCTAGAGGATTATTCAATTCACCATTGCTTTTTGTTATGAAGCAAGCACAATTTTGCAACGTTTAAGAGTGGTATAAAGAGCCAAATTGTTTCATCCAAGCCTTTAACCCATTTGTTATACCCCTTTATACCATGAACTCAAGCTTGAAATTGTTATTTCTCGCTAGGAACTCATCATTACTTAACTAGGAAGTTGGATTCAGTGGTGAAGATTTATCAACTCTATACTATATTTTCTAAAACGTTGGGTATGGAATTTAAGAATGGGAAGTGAATCCATATCGTGGCACTGATTCATACTGCTGTAATAAGTTTAACAGTTTTTTTATTACTAAATCATTTCAAACTAGTATTCCATTATAATAATATACATATATAAACTGTGGTTCAGTTTTTACATTTGCTTCGTAACAGCCTTAAAAATAGGGTTTTACAAGCTTTTCTTTATCTAAACTCTGGAAAATCTAGTCTTAATCGTTGGCAAGAGTTGTATTCTCACAATTCTAAAGAGTCCAAAGTTAGAATGAAACAGCTGTTCAGTTCCTCCTGATTTTCAGTGACTCGATATGATATGGAGCAGTGGCTCAGTGATTAGGCCGTTCAACTTCCGGCCATTAGGTCGTATATTCGAACCTCGTTCCATCTATTCCATTTTGGATAGATGGCTATTACCATACTAACCTTCATACTAATAGTATGGTTCTAAAACAATTGCACAAATGTGTACCTGGTTAGTGAGTTATTCAAAAAGTATGCCAGTCTGTAGTGGATACTGACGCTTCAAGTCACGTAGTTATTTGAAATCTTCAAATCTAACAAAAGTCCACTACACTCACTAAATATTTTTTATAATAGTAATTATGTTCAAATTTCTAGTGATTTATTGCTTGTGAGGCAGACTGACTCAGGTTACGTACGCTTTAGCCATTAATACATACATCAAGTTACTTGAACTTTTAAGAATTTGAAATCAGTATCTCTAGGTAAAAGAAACACGTTTAAAAATAAGATAAATCGTCTAAATTGACAAAATTCGACCATAGAAATTACACAATAAACTAAATTGTATGTGTGTTGTTAATCAACCGACATATTTTGTTCTCTTTTTTTCTTTAGAAGTTTATTTAAATACATTAGCTGTGATTACTGAAACCGATGGAGATAATATTGATGATTGTTGGCCTGAAAGTTTTAATTATTGTTCAACGTTTACTAAATTACTAGAAGATGAGAAGTAGGTTTTAAACTCAAACTATCAATATTACTAATAGTTATGTTGGTGATACACTCAAATTATTACTAGTTTTCTTTTCAAAACGGAAGAGTCCAATCCATTTCAAATTGAGTTAAAGCTCATGTCCGTTACACAAGCCAGTGGCTAGCTGGATACATTAACTAAGTGAATAACTCGATGAGGTTTGAAGCAAACGGTACTTGATTCGAGTCCGGTAGTGAACACCAACTCTGGGATGCAGGTGGGTTCAGCTGAAGGGTTCCATATGGGATGAAATGCACGTCCTGGGGTCCATTGTTAGCCACATTCCATCTATTCTGTATTAACTTGTCATAATTAGCTATCTAGAGGTAATTCTCTTAAAATGCACATATGCAACTGAGACTGAACAACGGGATAAACCGACCCATTTAAAATTAAATGAACGTTATTTTATTTCCGAATTGAACATTATTGCAGATGTTGCGTTATAGATATTTGAAAGGTCTTATAGTATATAATAATTGAATAGTTCATTTAACTAAAAACACTACTAATATGTAAAGTTTTATCAACTCTAACAGTTAAGTATCTTGTATGTAATTGGTATACATAACAAAATGTATAAAATGATACTTTTGAAGTGGTTAGTCCCGATAATTATTCTGATCATATGATAAATATATCAGCTTGGTCCATATAATTGATTAAATTGATTGTTGTATATTGGCCACTGGGAATTCCCATGTGGATCATGGGTTTAAGTGAGTTATTGGTGCATGTCTAAGTGATTTTATTGTGGATTTCATTTTATGTATCTAAAGTTATCCGTCTGTAACTGTCTATTATAAACATATCAGTGTAGTGCCACTCAACTTGTCGGATAAAAACATATATGGTGAAATTATGATTTGAAATTTTCTCTTTAATATTTAGCACTCATTCACTAAATGAACAGAAAATTGGTCAAAAACGCTAGATACAACCCACTTATTGAGCATTACCAATAACCTTAGCCAATACTGTACTGAGTTTTATTGCTTAACAATTTTATATGATTAAACTGTACATTTTGAATAATTCCTGTTCATTATTCTGTTCACGTGAAATCAGTCACATGCAAAAATATGTAAGAATTATGGTCTTGTACTGAATTGGGAAATAAGTGGTACAGTATTCATTATTAGGATCAATAATTTTAATCAATTCTCGTCTACTTCACAATTTAGTTTACATATTAAAAACTATTTTTCACTACAAATTAAGTCATTGCGGATACTCTTTAGTTGTTATGTTTCTCCCATTTTTAAACTGAGTTTATAAATTAATTGAAGGAATATGAATTACCAGTTCCTGCTTCGGTTTGGGCACCCGAGCAGTATCACAGCCCACACACAAATCAAGTGACTTGTGTGGCGCATATGTATTTGGCGCCCCTTTGTACCAATATTTATGTGTTCAAATAAATAAATAAAATAAAGAATTAGCAGTTTAATGTTTTACAAAATAAAAAGTCATATTCAACTGTAGATCAGGTTTGACCTTAGATATTCCCTCCTTTGGTGGGACAATTAGCTGAATGTTATCAATTGTGGGAAGACTTTAGTTTTAACACAGAAGCATCTTTAAATTCGCATTTTTATGACGTTATAATAGTCATAAATTGTTTCCTGGTATTTCTGTTCATCACTTGACCCAAACTTGTCAATTGGTACTGTAATCACTAATTGTATTGGTTGCATTTCATAAAAGCATTCTCTTATACACCATATTATCGCTACGTAACTCTACTCATCATTCAACGACACAGTAGCCAGCAATACAAACTTGCTCTCTTCTCAAAATTATTCTATAACCTGGATTTTTTGGAGGGAAGTGTATTTGACACTCCAGCCGATGATAACTACAATAGCAAACTTATGGGTGGTATGCATAGAGAGCTTATTGTGATATTTTTGTTGTTTTGAGCTACAGGTATTAATTTCAAGGAGCTTAATTCTTTCACCCTTTTGCAGTTGGTTTTTTGGATTTTCCAATGATGATCAGGATTTTTATCCCTTGTTTAATTAATTCTTGTTGACTATTTGGGAAATATAACATTTTCTTTATAGAATGGTCTTAATTGCGGTACTGTTGTAAAACCTGGGAGTACTGAACACAACTGTTTGGCCCTAGTACGAGAATCCTCAACAACTCGCATCCACGACCTCGCCACAGATCAGACTGAGGACCTGAAGTTCCCTTGGTGAACGCCCAACCATTTGGATCACTGGGTTGTGACCCTGTTATATAATTTGTGTTTCACCATAATGATTATCTAGTGCCATCGGTAAAAATTGTTCCACTTTAGATGTGCCTAAACTCGACTTCTTTTAACCTCTCATTAGAAATTTAGAAACATCTTAAAGTAAGCCAATATGGAGCTGACTATTATTATTTACATGAAGGGGTTTTTTGATGAATACAGCCTACCAATGGAACCAATCTCTACGATATCTCCTCAACTAAAATATAGCATTTCTCAACACATTTTAATCATCAAACAATCAAATGATTCCTGTCTATTATTTTAAAATGGATACATAGAATGTTGCGTTAAATTTATGGGGAATTTAATTCCTTCTTATGTTTTTTAAATCCCTCCCCGTAGTATTCGAGCTGCTTGGGATGCATTTATTCAGTTATCTGAAAAAGAACAAGAGAAGCTTCTTGGTACACTTCGTGTAAAAAACAAAATAAATGATGATGAGATGGCAGATAGTGATGATTATGATATTGAAGATGATATATCATCATATTCTTCTGCTATTTACCATACCCCGTCTTCTTTATCTCATACAAAACGTCATGTGAAACATCGATGTAGACGATCTAAGCGTGAAGAGAGGAAGAAACGATTTGATGATGTGAATTCACTTCTACAATCTAATCTTAATATGTGTAAGTCTAATTCATCAGCGTTGGTTTTAAAAAGTAGTTTCCACTTGTGTTTAATGTTTTATTCATTTTTTTTTGTGTGGAATCAGAACCAAGTTCTTGTGGTCTAGTTAAATTCTCGATAATTGGGTTTCATGACAATTGTAGTGTTTGGTATCACTTAGTGAGTTGATGTTTCTTTTTATATATTAGCCAATTTTATGCTTGATGTCAGCTTTTCCTATGCGAATAGTTCACCAATGATGTCTACAAATGTGGCTAAGTGTCACAGTGATTAGAGAAATTGGCCTTCAACCATTTGGTCGAATTTTTATTCCCTCACACTCAAGCTTTTACGGTTTGATCAGCTAGGTAAGTATCACTATCGCGTAATCTGCGAAGAGCTGTCACTTGAACCAGCAACAACTGAGACTCAAAGAAGAAGGCAAAACCGGTGGGAGATACAGATTTTATTTACCCTCGAAAAACACGTCTTTAGTCAAAATCGTTCATATTTTCAGCTTAAAATACCACTATGTATCGAGAAGTCTTCAGCTTCTCTGAATACCAACTTCGGTTATCAGTGTAGGGTATTGAATAAATTAGGGCTTGTCTCCAGGCTGCTAGCCTATTGAGCTCACTGCATCATTGAAAGAGCGGTCACATAGATTTGGAGATAAAATTAGATTACAGTACTTATTTAACTCAGTTGGACTCAATTTCCTAAGCACCAACCAAAACTTCCATGCACCAGGCGTGTAGCTCATAACTAACTGAGTACATAAATTTGTACTTGGTAAATCAAACTACAGATGAATTTCTAAATAACCCAAGTGTTTATCTACAAAGAAGTATGCATTTTCAAAATGTTTTAGATCTGTAGAAGTTTTGTTTGATAATCTAAATCCAAGATTAAGCTATGATCATTATTATCGTGTGACATAAACTGCTAATGAATTTCTACATAGAAATGTCATAATTTTACGCGTAGCTTTATAGTTTTATGCAGACAGCTCATTAATTAAGGAGGTCAAGACATGCGCCACGTATGCCTAACCCCCGCCTACCTCGACCAGGAATGTTGGTGTAGGAGTGGACTGAAAGAAAACTAGGGGAAACCAAACCAAGGTGTGGTAGCAGTACATGAAATCTTTGTCATTTGGACTGAGCAGTGTTACTACGTTGCAGCTCGTGTGATTGTTGCAACCATTGGTTAGAGACTTTGGGTAACATGGCTCAGAATCGTTCTCAGTGGCAAACAATTTATACGAATGAGATAGTAACTCACTGATGACAATGGTGGATGTGTCGCTCACTTTCGGGGATTAGTTGAAGTTAGACATTAACACCGTTGGATGCCAGTCAGCTCAGTGGTCTAATGGGTAAGCGCTCGAGCGCGAGACTGATAGGTCATGTTCGAATTTCGCGAGGCAGGATAATGGGTGCACACTGCTGAGGAGTCCCACAGTAGGACAAAACGACCGTCCAGTGCTTCCAGGTTTTCCATGGTGATCTAGCTTCAATTGACTCATGATCTCAACTATTAAAATTAGTATAATATCCACAAAACCCATTCTGATATACGAATATTCGTCAAGATTAGAACTAGTAGTTTGGCGAAAATTGGGCGCCGAGTATAGATAAGTCATTATATGTGATAATTATATTTGGAATAATCTCAGCGACTGAAATTTAAATAATTCAAACATTTCGTCCAGCAAACTTGTCTGAAGTTCTTCAGGCTAATAATCAAAATCATCAAAGAAATATAAAGTGTTTAACTATTAAATCAAATTTATACTGTGCTAGTGCAATCATATTTAGTAAATGGGATAAGATGAGTCAGTTAAGTCAAAATCATGTGAAAAGTTCACAATGTGAAAACAAATGACTGAATGGATTGTGTTTATGTGTAAGATTGAGTTTTCATATGTTTTCATATGAAGGAAAAATAAAAGTACAAGTTAGTTTGAGAAAAATTGTTTCTGAATCATTGATGTGCATGTAGAATGAGAATCATCAAATACATCATTGTGTTGCTAGAATAACCTACATTAATTTCAGTCAAAATAACGATCCATGTGAAATAAACAGGTTGGATAGAGAATGGGTTCAATTATTTGTTAATGAATATTTGCCAAGTAGTTGTTAGTTGAATACCATCATTTCTGTTCAGGTTGTTCTTGTTCGCCCACATATACAGCGCTTCTGTTGTCAATCTTTCTTTATATGTGTTAAAACCTTTCTGAAGTATTTTGGTCCCTTCAAAATTGAACTTGTGTCCTGTTTCCGACGCATATAACGCTATTGCCGGCCTATTCTCAAGTTTCTTTAGATCAACCAAGGATTTGGGAATATTTTTCAAACATTGTTTGTGTTTCTTCAATCTCACATTCAGTTGTCTGAAAGTTCCTCCCACATAAGCTGCACTGTAATCATGACAGTTGATCTCATAAGCAACATCTGTTGTTCTTCCTTTAGGAACCTATCCTTAACTTTCACTAATGTTGATCTAATAGTGTCACAAACGTGAAAATACACTCTTATATCATGTTTGTTTAGAACCCTCTCGATTTCTTCCGATGTTTCACTACGGTATAGGATGACCACGGTGGACTTCCAATCTTTCGGTATACATTCTAGTTTAGTTTTTCTTTCATGAATAATCTTTAAAAACTCTGAGGTAATCGTTATCCCTAAGTTTAGATAATTCAACCTGTTGGTTTCCTTATCTATAACGAGATTAATACATTTATTTCCAACTTATTATTATGTCTTCATTCAATCAAACAATCGAGAAACGCTACTTTGTAAGTGTATTCAGGAAATCACATTCTGAGAGGTTATGGTTTGGCTCATGCGTTTTGTACGAAAGTCACGGTTATAAAAGATTTAATTAACAGAAGTACTAATCTCATTACAGATAAGGAAGATCAACATTTGTACTCAGGTATTTTTTTATAATTTAGCCTCTATATTCGGACTATTTTGTTCACAGTTATCATATACCTGTGTCGTAACCACAAATGCTGTAACGTTTAATTTTCATTTGTAATGGAAGTCTTTCACTAACCTGTTATTTAGTAGTGTCAGATAAGTAAATTGATATTCATCAGTATCATGCAGGATTATTTCACTAGTTGTGAATTTTATTCGCAGAGCGTAGATTTTTCAACCATTTTCTGTTTTATGCTATGTGATTAGTTGGCACCATAATCTGTACAAATGATATAACGAGACTTATGTGATCTGTCGGTCGGTAAATCATTAGCAGTGGAATACCTAGGCCAATATGACCCAGGTACCTCGAGAAGTATCTTTCTACAGTTTCGGGACCGGATAGCGATGGCCATCCACACACCTCTAACAACGCTCTGGACTACTTCATGCACTATCAAATTCCTTCTTCACTAATTCATACTTCTTCCTTCCCTACCATCAACCCCTCTTCTATGGCTTACTCTTTTTCCCTTGTCCGACTAGTGCTAACGATCGAGTTCAGAAAGTGCTATTCTTAATCTCCTGAAACCTCATGTTTGCTGTCTACGAAAGTCCTCTTATGTGTGGCGATTGAAGTTGAAGTAAACTTCCTGTTGTTATATGTTTCACATTAGCTAATTGAGCTACGGGCACTGTACTTTTGCGTACATTTTTTCAGTGTTTCTAACAAAAAATTTCGTACAATTTTAAATAAATGGTTTCACAATAAATTGGGCACCGAGTATATAGAATACATCGAAAGTGAAATCTTATTGAGATCACGAGCCGATCTAAGTTAACCATCGAAAACCTGGAAACACTGGGCATATGTTCCGTCTCAATGTCGGGCTCCTCGTCAGTGTACATCCATGACCTCACTACCGGAGATTGAGGTCAGGGTTTTCAGCCTCGCGCTCGATTGCTTAGTCTCTAGATCACTGAGCTGGGATTCAGTGGTATAAAACTCTAAATAACCAAAGATAATAGAAAGGCGTCGCGCGTTACTACTGATTGATTGAAGTTAGACTTGTGCACCACCGGATCGTGGCCCAGAGTGACCTAGAGGTTAAGTGTTCGCACAAGGCCAAAGGTCCTAGGTTCGGCCTTTGGTGGCCATGGTGTAAACGCACACTACTGAGGAATCCCATACTAGGATGAACAAACTGTCCAGTGTTCCCAGGTTTTCAATGGTTGTTTAACTTAGATCGGTTTGTGATCATAATAAAACTCAACAATCTGAACAATCATCATGCTGATTGATAAAGAAATTATATTTGTAAAAATCTATGGCCTTGAAATTAAACAACCTAGCAATTTAGTCCAACTTTCATGACGGAAGTTATCGAAGAGAAATGAGGTCGAAAATAATTCTATTCTAATTGTTCGTCCAATCATCTTCCAATATTGACTTTGTGTACGATGTGAAAATGTGATTCATTTTATTGTGACATCTGTTTAAGATGTGCCGTGTGGTGGTATGCGTATTATATGTGAAGATTTTTTTGTTAAATTTAAGCGGATAAATAACGATTCTGGATACAACCAAGGTCAAATGAAAGCTATAAGTACATTTTAATCATTCAATTTGATACTCCAAGATATTTCACAAGTATAATTTCCCACTTCATATGTCTTTCGATATTTGTGCAGAGATGGATGGTGGCCAGCCATGTAATTCCCGAACGTGCGTTTTTTCCTATTTGGAACTTGTCAGATGGATGTGATCGCGCCCCAGAGTTGATGTTCACTTCGGGACTCGATCCAAACAATCAATATGTATGAATTAAAATTTACCCCGTTGCACAAGCCACTGGCTAGCTGGATTCAGTAGCTAAGTGAATAACGTAATGACGTTTCAAGTGAACGGTACTGGATCTGGAGTCCGGTAGTGTACATCAACTTTGGGATGCAGCTGTATTCAGCTGAAGGGTTCCATATGGGACGAAACGCACGTCCTAGATTCCAGTGCTAGCCATCACCATTCATCTCTACTTATAATGCTTGTGACCTGAGGCAATATCGAGACAATGCTCTCAGGATGCACATATGCCAGAAGAGACTGGTCAATTGCATTCCTAGACATGAATGGAAAGTTCCAAATTACCAATGTGTAAGTTTTTTCAATATGTTTAAAGAAGTAAAAAAAACATATTTAGTGATATATGGATGATGCAATCATCCCTTACCAAAGCGATACATACTGATCGATTAGGGACTTTTAGGCAATTCAGTGTCTACTCAACTATTAAGTTCATATGCGAGTAAGAAACTGAAGGTAGAATGCATCTTGTAAATTTTCTATTGATGAAGAGAATAGATAAATTACCAAGAAAAATAAGATAATACACAAATCGTTTTTAGTTTCGTGTAATCCTCTAGTAAGTCCAAATAGTAAGTAAGGAAATCACTGGGGTGACGTACTCTGCAAAATATCAATACGTAGATTGCTCAGAACAATTCGAAGAACAGTTAACTGTAGGAAGACTGTAGAAAACTGTAGAACCTGATGAGAATTTATTGTGAAAAGAATATTCATTGTTCATATATAAGCCTTTGTTTTGATCCATCTATATTCAAGGATACTGAGAAAAAAAAAGAAAAACTAACCATTTCACACTAAATATGAGTATTAATCATACTATCTACCCGGTTGTCCAAATCAAAGTAGATAAAGCGAGTCTTGAACCTGGGACTTAAAGGCAAATAGCTGAATACCTTAGTCACTAAGCCACTTCATAGTTCCCTGTACTTGTATCTAATAAAATTGTAGAAAATGCTTAAATGAGAGTTTAAGATGAATTTTCTCAGATTATTCAATATCAACACCATTGTCATGAAATGACCAATACGTAATATATATGATACTATTATTTATACGCATAATGGAGAAAAAGAAAGTATTTCCGTTTAGTTGGATTGTTTTTTGTTGTTATAACTAACGAGAATGATATTTTTCATTTATTGTTGACATCACGAACTCTTCAGGAGTGCGATCCATGGTCCCACTGTGGACCAAACTCAAAACCTCTTGGGTCTCTCGACCATATTTTAATCGTTTAACCACAAGTCAAATAGATTACCCTGGTGGGTTGCCTAATCAAGGTTTTATTCATTCAAAACTGATTACTTTAGTCAACTTTTAAAGTTTCACTCGAGTGTAATTTCATACATGTTGTTTTTTTCAGTGTTTTTTTCTCCAAGTTAGCACTAAATGATATCGGATATGTTAGGCAAGGTCTTAAATGATTGGAGTGCAAATGACCAATTAATTGCCTATGCAATTTAATCATGTCTGTTGCCTTATCAATAATTTACATTTAAGCACGTTATTTTATCAAATGAATGGTTTAATGCGTATTATACCAACTATCCTACAACCTATTTCAATTATGGTTAAATTTGGTTAGGCTCTTTTATTGACTTAACAGAGAATATTATTGGAACAGTAACGATTTGTCCATTTATTTGCAGCGTTATGATTACTAGATCACATGACAGACTCGAACTAAAATGTTGATCGCTTAAATATCACTCAATGATTCATCCTTCTCCCCATGTATATATGTAATCAAATCCTATCATTAGCCTTTGCTTTGCCTTGCTGTGCCCTTATGCTATTTGACTACAAATTTACCTGTGTTTATTCGCACACACATATTCGCCTCTCCGCTTCAAATTCGCTTGATGTGATTATAACTTTGTGATCTGTGGTGTCCGCTAATAAATTGTAGTTGCCGCTTCTGTTTGCCTTCTGATTTCAAACACCCTTGAGATTTATGTTATAACGGTGATCGAGGTGATCGATTAACGAAGCAAAGCCACTATAGTATCTTGTATTCAATCTCTAGTCGATAATTTAGTGTCATATACAGCCATCAACTTGGTCATATCGTATCATTACATATCATCTATCAATCGGTATCGGGTTTATTCATTTTAACAACTACAAACCTCGTTCACCTATCAACCACCCCCTCTGTCATACTATATTGAAAATGTAGTAGTTGTATGTTTACCGTGCTAAAGCTTGTTGTGACGACGGACCACCGGTGAACTCGAGGAAGCTGTGAGAGGCTCATAAGGAGCCGAAGACGTTCCATCCAATCACCTTTCGGAAGAATGTTCTAGAATTCCAACGTGTAGCTTCCCCATTGGATAATGCTAATAACTCCCTGTACGCGGATTGGAAGACTGTAATGATGATTTCGTTCTCACTAAAAACTATAAATACCTGACAATTTTGTACTATGTTTGACACTGTTTGGAATAATATTCCTTTCGTTAGTCTTCTGTCTTCTTATTGCGACTTGGAAGGGGTTTGGTGTTCTAGTGCTCAGTTATACGCGGTTGTATCAAGAAAAATCAGCTTTTTCAAGTTATAACATCTGGCGACGGGGATGTAGATGCTTTCACAAAATGGCCGGAAGTATATGACATGCCGAATACGACTTCAGAGATTACCATAAGAAGATTGTCAGGATTGTTTGCCTGTTTTGGGGTTCCAGAGATCTTAGTGACCGACAATGGTACTCAGTTTATGTCATCCGCCTTCAAACGCTTCTGCAACGAGAATGGCATATTGCATCTACAATCTCCTCCATACCATCCTCAGTCGAATGGCCAGGCAGAAAGATTCGTGGATACAATTAAAAGAGCTCTGGTCAAAGGGGGAGGTGAGGGTGTCCCGGAACAAGTGATTAATAAGTTCTTGATGTCTTACAGAGTTACCCCTAATCCGGCAGTACCAGAAGGAAAGTCTCCGGCCGAGTGTATGTTCGGAAGGAAAATCCGGACAGTTTTTAATAGTATGTTGCCGCCCAGAAAGACAAATAAACCCACGAATGAAAATCGTAAGGTCAATCGTAGCTTCCAGGTGGGTGAAAAGGTACTTGTCAGATCGTATCAAGGTAATAGGAAGTGGGAACCAGGTGTCATAGAACGTCGAATCGGAAATGTGCTGTACCTAGTCCGGAAAGATGTCGGGAAATGCATAAGACATATAAATCAAATGCAAAGAAATGATAGTACAGTGGTCACAGAAAACCGGCTTCCATTTCAATTGCTCGTAGATTCATCTCAGAAGAACCATCATGAGCGCAAATATCGAAAGGACAAACGACGCAGAGAGAAAGCTGTACAACCCTCGAGAGTAATGGACCGCAAGAGGAATGCGACACCCAAGCTTCAGGTGGATCCAAGAAAAAAATCTTACACAACGGACTTTAAAGGGGGGAGGTGTGACGACGGACCACCGGTGAACTCGAGGAAGCTGTGAGAGGCTCATAAGGAGCCGAAGACGTTCCATCCAATCACCTTTCGGAAGAATGTTCTAGAATTCCAACGTGTAGCTTCCCCATTGGATAATGCTAATAACTCCCTGTACGCGGATTGGAAGACTGTAATGATGATTTCGTTCTCACTAAAAACTATAAATACCTGACAATTTTGTACTATGTTTGACACTGTTTGGAATAATATTCCTTTCGTTAGTCTTCTGTCTTCTTATTGCGACTTGGAAGGGGTTTGGTGTTCTAGTGCTCAGTTATACGCGGTTGTATCAAGAAAAATCAGCTTTTTCAAGTTATAACACTTGTGAATCAATTTAATCACTGCGAAAAATTGACGTTTTCAAGCGTTCAGTTTGTTATTGCTGTGTTCCAGTCATGATCCTGGTCATTTCTTTATTTTCAATGGACAGTTTGATCGTGTCCTGTTCAGAGGATATATTTTCTTTTAGCATCTATCTGCAATAATATGATAACTTAATATTATTATCTTTATTTTTAAATACATAACTAGGTGTATCTGTTCAACCAGAAGATAATAACAATGTAACCAAAGATAATTTGCATGATTTAGAAATAGAACGGCGTATTCCTACTCGTGTATTATCGCTTGTATCAGACTCTATTCCTACAAACACGATGACGATGAACAATTTAAAACACAATCGAAAACGTTGTAAACGTCCACTTACTCCGACTGATATTTGTTTAATGCAACGAGTTGAAGTTGAGTTGAGACAGCATTTTTTCTCTCAAATTAATTCAAATAGTATTGTTGGTCGTTGGACACCATCATTATCATTGTTGTCACAATCAATGTCACCTTCAATGACTAACAACTGTACGAATAATAATAAGAATTATTATTCACATCCAGATCTATTGTGCTTGGATCCATTTCAAAGATTATTGGTTCATTCAGTTGCTAGCTATTTAGGGTTGAATTCATATAGTAAGTGTTTTCTTTAACAAATAGTAATCTAAAAAAGGTTTTGAATCATTTCTCTTACTTATTTTCTTCCTTCTGGTTATTGTTTCAGCTATTCGATCGGTCATAATCAGTGTACATAGGAGCTGAGACAAAAAGATGCGTGTTCTGGTTCCAGTTTCCACACAGACAGATCAAACGAACGAGGGGAATAGTCTAAATGATTTAAAATCGTAGTAGTATCAATGATGGTAAACATAGAGAATATGTTACTTACGCTTTGTCTTCCCCACTAAGGATTACAACTGACCAATCTCTGTTAGTGTATGTACATTCTGAGTGAATTGCCTTAATATTTCCATTTAGTCATTTGCTTTAGACGCATAGTTGTTTAAAACGAAGGCCTCTATGTTCGAGTTTGACACTGGATATCAACACTGTGATGTTTTTTCCTACGTTCAGCTAACAAGTTCCGAGTAGGACAAAATGCTACGTGTCCCAAATCCCCACTCTTAGCCATCATCAAAATTTAATAGAGAATTTAATTCGGAAAGTAAGTTCAGGTTCACTGGGTGACCGTTAGCACTTGTTAATTTACATCATCTATCAATACGGCTCAAACCATTGGTCAATGATGTCTATTATGTTTAATAATATCCTAAATAGCTAGTCTATAACATTATTGCTTAATGATACTACAGATACCGTTTACAAGTCTTTTTCTCATGGTTGTCAACTTTATTAAAATGTAATAATTAATACCATCTGTTAATTTGCTATTTTAAATTAGTTGGTAGGAAGTCCTAGTCAGTTTGTAGCGATAAGTCAGTGAGCAAGGGGTTCGACTATCAACCAATAAGTTCTGGGTTCAAACCTTATTCCACCAACTTCGTTCTGGGCAACTGATAGTATTACTAACCATCAAACTTATATTATGTTTCATAACCAATTACATTTATCTTTACCTAGGTAATTATCTCAAGTTTCGGGCCCATTGTCGACATTCATTAAAAAGGTATATCTGCAATCTTGAAGGTAGTGTTGCTCTCACTGGTATTTTTCGAACCAACTTGCATGGAATCGGAGGTTGGAACTAGTTGTCTACAGATTACCTCCAACCACAATGTCCAATCACTTGGTCATATGATCTTGTTTCAACTTGAGCTGTATCGTAAAATCAACACTAAGAACTAGTCTAGACAAACATATTGGTTATAAATCAATAATCAATAAATGTAATATTAGCTTGCTGCTAATCGTAAATCTTTCAGCCATACACTTAAAAATAATGATTTATGTACTGCATAACTATTAAAACCTCAGTAAGCGTAACGAGGTTGAAATGCTTGACCAACTGACGACTATCTTTATCATTAAACCTTAGCTTTAATAGGCAAATGATAAATTTGTTTAACTCTTTGTGTATTCTTTGATTAGTTGTATAATGGTATTATTTTTTTGTTAAATTTATGTATACAAAATACCTTTATATGTGTTATACCATATCGTTTAAGGTACATGGTCTAATTCACTGGGTGAACGTCAATTATGGGTGGAACAAATTTTAGGTAAATATAGTCAACCACCAAAGCAACACTTTGTGACGTTAATTGAACAAAAAATCAAACAATCATCAAAATCATTGTCATTGAGTACATGATAGTGATCGCTGGTGTGTGTGTGTAAAAGATAGTTTACTTCCCTACCATTTTTAATTGTTGCGCTGTTTTCCCCTTTCCATCTAACTATTCCGTTATAAATCACGTTTATAATAATAATAATAATAATAATAATAATAATAATAATAATAATAATAATAATAATAATAACAATAGTAATAATAGTAATGATAATAAATGTGGCTGTATTTGTTTGGCTTTTCAAGAAAAAAGTAGTGTTCTAATCAGTCATGTTCTTTCTTACTCGAATAAAAGAGCGCACGCCCAATGTTGTTGATCAAATATTGAAGAGCTACATTCTTTACTAATGGATTCATGTTATTGATTTTTTCCGTACTTCTCACCTATTTCTCTAGTTTATTCTTTAAATTACTGGTGTAAAAGGGTCTGTGGAGATTGTCGAATTTTGAAGTATACATCACGAACTGATCCCGGCTGGGTAATCATTTTAAACTAGAAAGTGCTGGATAATTGTTTCGTTATTGTTTTGGGATTCTTCAACAGTGAAGGCAGTTACCCACCAATCGAATTAGAAAATGGTCACACGATATCGCGGATTGATTGAAGGTATTCGTTGAGTTATGTTTTGCTTTTTAAGAAGTTCGAGTTCGTCATTGTCGGTTTTAAGGACAGCACAAAGTGTATATATGTATGCATAAAGTTTTATTGTTGCTACGTTTAAAGAGATTATGATATCACCTAGAACCAGCGAAACGGAACGAATACAGCAACACAATAACCAGACAAGCTAAGCTATTTCACTACTCCCCAGCTGTGCTAACTAGAGAGAGAAGACCAGATTTATCCCGGAGCAATATATACTCCGAAAACAATCTGAACCACGAACGAACAAGCACAAAACTCATGGATACATATACAGCATTAAAATATACATCACAAAATAGCGTACTAAAAGAGTAGACGAACCAATGACATTTAAGGTCCTTCCAAGTGGGAAATGCAATCTGAAGGTAAAAGTGGGCCTTTTTGATGCCAAAATGACGAATTCAAATTTCCAAAATAAAATTACAAGAATAAGACGTTTACCAAGTGACTTATAGGGATTTAACATCCCCAACAATTGTACTACATATGGATAAAAATTTCCAGTTATCACGCTTAGTCATTACACAGATCTTAACAATCAGGTCTACAATGCTTTATCGAATGGTTCAAGACTCTATAGTTAGTGACTTAGCATCTTTTCATTGTTTTCACCACGGGTTAGTCTTCGTTAGACAAAACCATTAAAAATCAGAAAGCACTGATTTGCCTGTTTTGCTATCCCATAGAGTAAAACTAGGTAGATACCTTGACCTCTCGTAGCGAGCCTTTAACAATTAGAACCACTAAGCTGACCTACAATAGTTTACTTGTTTAACGCTCCAATCAATTTGCGATATTATGCAACAATCTTTCAATTCTACTAATGGGTAACAACTTCACAATCAACTTGAGTAATCGATTGGTTATTTAATAAATCTTGACTACATGCAGTTGATAGTTACATACGTATTATATAATTTAGATTTAGTCTATTTAACACTTCAAGATTTTTCAATGTTCATATATTATCGGGACACAGTGTGTTAGTATCAGTAAGAGTTTGTAATTTCCTTTCTTTGATATTCAGGATTTCAGTTGACCAATCTCCCTTTTCATGTGTACATTTTGAGCGAGTCGTTTAATATGGCCTTCATACCTGTTTAACAAGTTAGTGGCTATATGTAGTCAGTAGCTAAGTAGATAATACAATCAATGTTTAAAGCGATAGGTACTAGTTTCGAGTCTCAACGTGAATATTAAAAATGTGATATTCAGATAAATCTAGCTGTGAAGTGTTAAATAGGAAAAAATGCCTGTTTTTGATCCCACTACTAGTCATATGCTAAGTATACTAGGTAGTGCGTTTGATGTCCGGACAACTCATTTACGCCGCATTTGCACTATCATTTATTAATAGTAGTAAAGTAAGTAGTAAATTTCTGCATATCCTCCCGCTTCAGTTGGGGTTAAAGAAGCTTACTGATCCACATAAGTTTGGTTATAAATATGAACAAAGTACTTGTTTCGGACCATAGTATAATGATCAGTTTGGACAAGGGTGTGAAGTATATTAGATGTGGATTTCTAGACTATACCTCTGCTTTTAATTTCGCTCCAGAACTATTGACGTTAGACACGTTTGCTAGCGTTAATACTGAGAGCTGGGTAACTAACTGCTTGTGTCCATATTTTCATAGCGGTAAGTATTCAACCTGGTGTGTCACAAGGAGCTGTTTTCTCCCCTTCCCTTTTTCTACGTGGTCTTCTATCTTCTACAAAGAACACTTGTTAAGTATGCGGACAATGTACGCCAGTTTCTTCCTATTTGGATCTCCTTGAAATGAAGGAACTGTTATCGCTCACTAAACGATAGTCTATTTCTAATGGTCTTGCACTAAATCCCTCTAAATATCTAGCTGTCAACTTTAACCTAAAACATACACAGCACTCAATCACGTTGTTAGATCACGTGAAATTCGCACCAATGAAGATTCGGTAGTAAAAACCATATTAAATATTATTTATCTCTGTGGAAGTTTTTCGTTTGACTTATTTTCTGAAGAGGCTAAATGTATTCAATATTTACTTTAACTATTTGTAAATTCTTGTATATTACTAGTTATTTTTTACTGTTCCTCATTATTGGTTCCTCAATATTCAAAAAAATTGTTATTCTTTATGAAGACAGTAAAGTGTGTAATGAATCTTTTGATATCATTATGAATATAGTCGTGAATAGATATTTGGGATCTTTCAAACTTCTGGCTAGTGTTATCTTATCAGAATCCATTAAATGGAAATAGAAGTGCATAAGTTCTACAACACTGTGTTTATCGTATCTGCACGACGAACAGGTTGTAAAAGCTGACCTAATCAAGAACGTATACTCTTGAATGTGTTTTGAAGACTCTTATCTTCTTTCATAGATATCATTTAATATTACGTAATTTTATTTACTTATCTTACCTATTTATGTATATATAAATATCTAGCATAATTATGAATTGGCTTTTATTGAAGAAAAAAAGATTGTTTAGATGTATCATATGTGTTCACTAAAGATTGGTGAAAAATTGGATATTGATAGTTACGGTCAAAAATATAATTCGTAGAATGTACCATTCAATTTTTTGATAGGCAATTAAACCCTGGAATAGGTTTTCAGTGAATGAATTCGTGTGCCGCCAGAAGCATGAGAGCAGCGGTCATTTCCCAATTGTTCACACCTTAAAGTACCTGAAAATAAAACGAATTAGAAGTGGTCAAAACGCAACAATTTGAGGCCGGTCATATATGGCCTTTTTTGAGTAGTTTTAAATGAGTTAACCACTTTTAAAGCCTTTTCGTCGATAATAAAAATCCATGGGCAAAGTAAGACATGCTACTTTTAAGGTCCGTTTTCATCCCTTCCTGTTGCGGATGGGCAGTATCACTGCAGATGCTAGTTGTCTAGCAGAAAGACCTTGGGGCTATCACACTCATATTCAGCCGGAAGCACGACCTCTTCCACATTGTGAATTAACTTCTTATAGTCTGGTCGTCCTTTAACCAACCCGTTGGGATGGTTCCAACCAACGTAGTTCAATTAAGCCATCACGTCAAAGTAGCAGCTTCAGTTGGAAAATGAATTATACGAATTATGAGTATTCGTAATTATTAAACATTGAACTATTCCTAATATGTGTCGTGTCCATCTACATATTTAATTTGCATAAACACCAGTCCTAGTGACGGATCTGAAGTTAAAGCATTCGGTTTTTTCTGCGGCAAGTCACAGGATTGAGACTTTTCCGCCTAATTTAGTTTAAGGAGTCTAGTAGTGTCATTAGCTTTCACTTAAATATTGTGGCTTGGAGCCTGTATATGTGAAATTTATATAATTATGATGAAGTGCCGAAACTAGAAATTTTTCATTAAACTTTTGACTTTTCAGAAATTCTTTGAATTCTAACAAGAAGTGTAATTAACTTACTGTTTTGTTCATTAACCCTTAAGTCATTCTTTAATATATATCGTATTTGTCTAAGTCTAATGTACAACAAGTTTATTTATGTATTTGAAGAATCATGGAGCCTGAAATAAGTAACTAGAATTTACAAAACCAACTCAACTCTTTTTTGAGAACTTTTAAAGTGATATTATTATGGGAACCTGACAAATTTCAAACTTTAGATATTGATGCGAATAATGATTTTCAAACATTTCTTAAACAAATACTTTGGTTAGTAGAAAGTGTAAACTTTAAATTGATTCATGAATATTTCATTTTCATCAGCTGACAGTACATAGACTAGATAAAATCATACCCATCGATATACTTTGAATTGTATTATCTGAGAATCAATTTCGTTTATTTATGCTGACTACTACTTATTATGTGAATAATCGACATCTTGACTTTATTCGGGATGTAGAAATTTCTGTATATAGCGGGTTGGTGAAAGCAGTTCTGCTCTCTTAGTGAAAGCTGACTTGAGAGTTGAGGATATTCGCTGACTCCGAGCTCGATCATGGTTATCTTCGAACTGTTGCTTATATTCAGTGATAAGAATGTGTAAGTAACGGTCGGGTTCGGCAAGGATAGTCATGATAATTCATTGATGTTACAACCTCAATACACAAACTTAGCTTGAACATGTTTCAGGAATGTCATTCTGGCGGTTTCCACACTTTATTGTTTACTAATTATGCAACTGGATGAAAAACTGAAGAGCTTAAT